AGTTATTGTTTGTTTGTTTTGTATGGTTTTAGTTAACAATAATAACTCTCATATAGAATAGATTTTCTATCTGTTTTCGGAAGAGAGGCATTCACATTAATATATATATTTTTTAAAAATTAAATCTTTTGTCAAACTTTGAGCTTTAAAACTTTCAAACTTAAAACTGAATTAGAATGACTATTAACACTATATAGTTACAGTTTATCATTGTAGTTATTGTCCTTGTTGGACCGAGCCTTTAGTCTGAGTCTGGGTTTCGGATGTTTAGGTCTTGTATTGCCTGGTCTTGACTCCAACTCTAGTTGTTACCACAACAAGTACACAAACACCACCTATGAACATGACTCTTTTGATCGGCCGCCAGTTATCAGTTATTATTTTACACCTTCGCTTCCCACTAAAAGGTTCGTAAAAAGTGCCTAACTGTGTTATAAACATTTATACCTGCTCATGAAAGTGTTCTGTGTTAATGAGTATTACACCATCTGGTGGTTTAGGCTTGTGCATGTATCATTGTGCAATGAAGCACATGGCCATATTTAACTAGACGCACACACACTCATTCCTTCCCATTAGCATGTGTTTATGGCCACCACACCGGTGTGCAACAGGTGTTGTGTTCCATGAGCAGGTGTAAGAGGAACCATTAGGGTTAACACTTCAGTGCACACAGATGACATATCCATCCATCCGTCCATTTCTCTGTCTGTTCTCTCTTGATTAACCAGAAATGCCCTGAATTTGCCCTTTTGACCTACTTTGCAGTGAAACTGGTTTCAGTATACATAAAACTGTCTGTTACAGCTGGCAGGAGATCAGTTTTGCTTGGAACACTTTGCCCCATGCTGTGTCCCAATTCACCTTAGACGCACTAGGTACATACTTTTGAGTGTGTTCTTAGACAATATGTGATGCCATCATTTTGCGATCAGTCACAATGAGTTGTTTGCAAGGTTGTTGTTGTTAACTAAGAATAAAACTATGAACATTTATTTTTGTTAGTTGAAATAAAGCTGATATAAAATATAAATATTACATTAAAATCTTAAACTTAAAAAACTTAAAAATGTTGCCTTGGCAACTGAAGTACTACATTGATTAAAACTAAAATGGAAATAAAAAAATATTATAGAAATATTGCAAACAAACTAATAAAAATGACAAAAGCACATAACAAAATTACTAAACGTAAAAATATAAAAATAAAAGCTAATTCAAAATAGTAATAAATGCTATAATAAGTATATAAATAATACTATTTGTGAAGAAATGCAATTATAAGCAAAAATATCCTTCTGTTTGTATTTTATATAAATATGTATATCTTTGATAAAGTCTCAGTTTTGAATTATGTCATTTTATATTACAAAATTCGAACAATAAACATCTTTTCTTCTCTTTAATTCGGTGTGACAGATTGCTGTGGCCTGCACTGGCAGCACTTCCAGTTACTACACCACTTATTCTTACTATACAACGACAATATGAATGCATACGCAAACAAATGAAATTTTTATTATTATTATTATTATTATACAAAAACAATATGAATGAACATCAGAGGGTATGTTGAAATATACAGTACGACTTATGTCTCATGCATATTTATTTGCTTTTATTTATTTTTAAATTTGATTTTCATTAAGTGCATGTAATTCAAAATGTGTTTCTGGGTCAAAATGAGAGAGCAGGTCAGATACTGGGACATGCTAAAATGTTATAAGTCTGAGTCTTTAGCCACACACCCTCTTGTTCATTATTTACACACATGAATAGTATGCAAATGAGGAATGGTGCATGAGAGTCGAGATTTGGGTCAAACTGATTTTGGAAGTGCACATAAAGGCCATTTGTTCGATAGGAAGGAGTGGTTAAATCAGATTTTGTCCAGCGCTGCCACGAGCTCTGGATGATGTCAGGCATTCTTCAGACTGAATCCTATTGCTTGATCTGATCTTGATCTGTTGCATATCTAATTCATTAAAGTGAAAGGCATCCAGTCTATCAGTGTCAATAAATTGTCATTGTTTACATTGTCATGATTCTACCTTCTTGAGTAAAAAATCTTAAGCAGGATGTTCACTATAGTAAATTAAGCAGTTTTGCAAAAAATATCTTGATTTTTAAATTGTTTTGTTTTGTTTCGGGATAGTGTAAGGGTTGGGTTTTATTTTGTGCTATTTTGAATAAGTTTTGTTTTGTTTTAAGTAGGTAGGTGGTCCACTATAACAAATTATACTGGTTTACTAAAATATCCTAACATTTAAGTTTTGTTTTGCTTTGTTATGGGTTTTTGTTCTGTATTTTTGTTTTGTTTTAGAATTTTGTTTGGGGTTTTTATTTGGTTGTAAGTTTTTGTTTTAAGGGTTTTCTTATGCTTTGTTTTTGTCTTAATGAGCAAGAAGGTCCACTATAGCAAATTTTGCAGATTTACAAATATATCCTGACATTAAAGTTTTGTTTTGTCTTCTCATTTTGTTTTTGTCTTAATCCTTGTTAAATTGAAGGTCCACAGCAAATTATTCAGGTTTACAAAAATAACTTTAAAGTTTTGTTTTTGTTTTGTGTTCATGTTCAG